CTATTATAAAAAGTCTGTACAGTAAGTTAGTAGACTTATAAATATTTCCAAAGAAGTTAAGTTAAAACCAGGTTTCAAATTATACTTTTACAGAACAAAGTGCCATTCTTAATTTTTCTGTAATTATGTTTGGAAACACATTTTTGTACTACACTAACATAGTATATACTCACTTTTTTGATGTACATGTATCTGCCCAAAACTGAATTTTACTGATTATCTTATTTTTCAGATATACATACACTACAAAAAGTTGCATTGCCAAATTTGCAAAAACTATCTGCAAATTTATCAGGAATTAGGTACTCCAGTACAGAAGCGGTACCTTCAGCAACACCATTTGCACATTTCAGAACATTGGAATCTGATCCTGTAAGTAACATGTATGTATATATAAATTTTTATAAATATCAATTTTGTCTGCCATTCTTCTGCTTTGTAGGTATATTTCTTACATTACATAGCCATCTAAAGAATTTTGTGCTTCTGTTTTTTGTAATATACAGGCTTTTCTATGGTATATGGACAGTTTCTCTCATATTAATTTCTTTTCTGTGTTTTTATAAATTTTTTCCCACTATTATGTTCTATCTGATTTTCGAATGTTTTTGCCTCTTTTACATTTTTGACTTTCTCCTATATTTTTTCAGTAATCCTACTTTTACTTTTTGATTTATACTCTTCCTTAGTTTACATCTTTAGTGTAAATCTCAGTTGATCTGAACATTAATTATATCTTATACTGATTTTGCCATTGATTTATCTAGCTTTACCCTTCTCACAATCTGTTAAAGATTTCTTTTGCTAGTCATGTGATACATTCAACAGTTAATAAAAGACACTTTTCTTGTAGTGTTTGTTGTATGCCAGCTATTCTCCTTACTTAACAACCACATGTTCATTATCATGTAATTATTTAAATGTAATTGCCATTTTTTTCCACCATAATTTGCAAGTTTTTTTTTTCCTTTGTGCCAGTGTGCATACACTCAGTGTAAAACATTCCATGGTTGTATCAGTAAAGCAGCATAGATTTGTTTATTTTATTGGGAATGGAATCTGTCTTCATCTTTTGTGTGAATTTAATTAAATTGATTTTTGTTATGAATTGTTTTTTTTTTTTAGTAAAGTCTTAAGCTATTTATTTATCACTCAGAGTACTGAAGTGACACTGTGTTTACTTATTATAATAACAAGTATTTATGTGCTATGGTTGGACCATTTTTATTCTGCAAATGGTTAAAAAAAATCTCTATATTCATTTCAGTTAAAGTAATACTTTATTTACATCAACAGCCTGATTTTCAAAATTGGTAAAATAAAAACTAGGCCTCTGGCTATGTGTCTACTTATTACATATTTACCTGTTTTGTAGATCTGACAACAGAAATGACTTGTATAGTGACCAGCATTTTATTTCTATATCATGCTGTCATGTGATCCTAGGTTTTGTTATGTGGAATGTAATAAAAGAGAAATAAAATGATGATTTAATATTGTTGTTTTTTTATTCTATAATGTCTCCTTGTCCACATTTATTTTGTGTAAAGTTTTGAATGAAGTTAAAAGGTAATGTTGTTTATATATTTGTAGACACTCGGTAGTGCTGCCCCTTCTCTCCCACCACACACACATTTTAGCTGTGGTTATGCCTTATGATCAAGGTTGCTTTCGAAGTTAAGCTTCCTTCAAGACACAAGCTATATTACATTATTACTGTGGAGAGCTCAGGGAAAGAAGGACCAATTAGAAACTTGAACTGAAATTTCGGAGGGAGGGCCCCAAACAAAAGTGTTGTCTTTGGCCCAAAGGCTTCTGCAGGCAGTAGTGTCTAGCATATACAAGTTTAAAACATTTATTGTTAAAGTGAGTTGTTTGAAACATTGAAGGATAACAATGTGTGCATGATCAACTCTGAGAATGATTTCATCACAAATTTAAAGACATTTCAACAAAAAAAAAGTATGTGAAACAATCAATGACTTGTAGTAGTAAAATTCACCCACAAGAATAAAAGTACAAAATACCCAATGGTTTGAGTTTGGTTAACTAAGAAGGTGGAATAATAATAACAGTAAGATATAGTGATGTTAAAAAAACAAACAAACTTAAAATGTTGTTTTTCATATAAATTCTTTCACAGACCCATCTTTAATATTTCCAGAGGTCAGTTTATAATTTTAACACCTGTTAATAAGCTATGTTAAACTTACAGGAATTCATCTACATCAAATTCTTTAACACATGTAGCTGAACTAAGATTGTTTTCAAATTATTTCCAGGGATACATTTTTAAATAAGAAAAATATACAATAATGTTTCAAATTAGTATTTACTAATTAATTTTTTTTTGTATTTCACAAAGTTTCATCATTTTTTTCCTGCTATTTCTTCTATCACAATTCACATTTGTTTGGATTTTTTACATTGTTTTTAAAAATTGTTAATAAAGTTGATCAAGTAATCAGTCAGTTTGTTACTGTTTTAATTTTTTATTGAAAGTGCTATTTCTTGGTGATGGCATGTTAAATGTTATGACTTACTATCAGTGTTATACTATGTTTGGCCACTGTGATAAACACTGATTTGGTTACATTTTCAGGTAAATCATACAAATAACCATGAAGCTCAGTTTTATACAATGACACCTTCTGTGCATAAAACCCTTTTTCAGTTGGGTGGAATATCAAAATCATTTGAAATTCAGGTGGGTTAGCAATTCTTATAATCTAATGCTTATGGCCAGGCATTGTTGTTCAAATGTGAAAGATGTTTGACCAAGTTGTATTACCTTTTCCTGGATTAATATATTTTGTTTTCATAAAATCAGGAGTGTACATTAAAGTAATAGCTGTGTTGAGTTTAGTGTTACAAAAATATTAATTTTGTTTAGCTATATTATTTTAATTTTTTCTAAAGCAGGTAATTCCAAAATAGACAATAATTGTTTTTTAAAAAAGTCAAAGATATCTCAAAAGCAGGTATTAATTTGAAAACTTCCTCCCTTCTTCTTTCAAATGAGTGAAAAACTTTTAAAATACTTAAGAATATGTTAAATATGCATTTTGAAACACTCTCTGAGCAGTCAGTTCAGAGAGTCCATGCAATGTTTATGAAATTCATATGTATTTGTGCTATCAATTTTATAATTATAAATATATTTACATGGTTCAGTTTTGATGTCTCATTTTTAACTGATGAAATACTTGGAAGTCTCAGAATGTATAAATTTAAATCAATTTATAGAAAAATACATTTATACCAAAGGAATGCACTGTTGTTTTAGCTGCATATACTGACTTAAAGTTATGTTCAATTAATATCCAACAATTTATTGTGTAATACCTATCCAGATGTTTGGATTATTTCAGATATGTCTTTACATCTACAGTTATCATGCACAAGTTGTTTTTCACTTTTAACTTACGTTTGTGTTCCCTTGTCTATAAAAAGTCTATATTGTGTAGCTTAATTCAGAAACTTTTGCTTCTGAGACGATACTCCACCTCTGCATCTGATTATGAGATTTTTATGCCACTAGCCTTGAGCTAATTCCCACCTAAAGAGAAAAAATAATATTTACTGCTTATCCTTTATGAATTCTCAAGTGATGGTAACTACTACTTCATCCTGTGATGGTGATGATGTCATTGACTTGGGACCTGTGGCTACTGGAGACTCATTATCTATGGAGGCTTTAACATTTATTGTTCAACGAGTAGCGAGTTCCCTCATGCATACTAAGTATCATCCTCCCATCCATTCTGTTGAATTACTTCTCTCTCAGTATGAACAGGACCAGGATGACAATGGTTTTGTCTGGCTGTTCCCCCACCAGGGTTTGCTCTAGGTACTGATATATCTCTGAAGGAAAACCTCATCTTTCTAAACTCCTCCTTGACATGATTTTGCAGGTATGATCGTTTTTTCTCCAGTATTATTTGATTCCTCCTATTTTTTACTACATGACAGCCATACTCAAGATTTCTTTGTTTTTCCTCCTTTGCCTGATAATAGGATCCATGTGGACTTGCTTCTTGAACAACTACACACCCGTACTCACTTGCCTTGTCCTCCTCACATACTTGACTCTTTTGTCATCACTTACAGCCATTCTTCATTTCCATTTTTTGTTTCCCAGTCATTAAAATCTCTTTCACCTGTTTGGGAGGAGGAAAACTTAACTTTGATATTGTTTTTTAGTTTCAAATTTTATGCCCTCATCTCTTTCTTACTACCCTCTTACATTACCTTTCTTCACTTCTCCTTATTTCTAAAGCATTGAATTATGCTTCAGAAGGATTTTCTTCTTTCCACCACTTTAGCCCTTAATGTTTTTTCTGCTATATCACTCCTTACTTGATTCCTCTGCTGTTGGGACTTGTTCAGTCAGGATGCTCTCCTAACTAATATTTGCCTGCCTCACTCTTAGGAGTCTGGCATGACCTAGTGGTAAGGGTGCTTGACTCACAACCTGAGTGTTGTGGATTAGAGTTCCCATCACTGAACATACTTATCTTTTCTGCCATGGGGGCATTATAATGTGACAGTCAATCCCACTATTTGTTGGTAAAAGAATTGGTAGTGGTTGGTGTTGACTAGCTTCCCTCTAGTCTACCACTGCTAAATTAGGGATGGCTATTGCAGATAACCCTCATGTAGCTTTGCATGATATTCAAACCAAACCTACCTCAATTATTTGATATTTGTTAGGCTCCTTTTCTTTGCCTGGAGGTCTTTGGTGGTGTTCCTGACTCTCTGAAGACTTTGACTGAATCATTCTGGAATCAGTTGTTGTTGTTGTCTTTGTCAACCTCACTCTTCTGTACGTAGACCTGCTCAATTCACATTTCCCCTTCCTATTCCTGCTTCCTGATCTTCTTTCTGCCACACTACTTCACGATGTTAGGGTTGTTGCTCATCTTGTCAGTGAATATTCTGTTGGGTCTAGCCCAGTAGGCACCCACCTGTCTCACTTTGCCAGTCTTTGGTCTCTGTTTTGACCAACAGGTGTATTTTCTCACCCACAGCCTACCTCTCCACTTCTTTTTTCTTCCTTTCCTCCTTCCTACATTCCAGTTTATATTCAGTGACTCAAGGATGCCATTATTTGAGTATTTATCCCTACTGTGGGATGTTAATCCTGTCTATTTGTGGTCTCAGGAAGCCTGTGGACTAGCATCTGGTTATTGACCTGTCATCTCTCAACCAGTTTCTAGTCGTATCATGGATCCAAGTGGAAGGTTTCTTTTTTCCCTAGTGGTACTTTTCATCAGGTCTGTGGATGACCAAGGTCAACAGATGCTTTTTTACACTTCTGATTACCCCATCCTCCAGACATTTTCCCTATTTCATCGATTTCATCAAATCTAGTTCTATGCACTTCCTTTTGGCAGTGCATCTACTCCCTTTGGTCCTTGCAAGACAAGGGTTTCCTTTTTAAGATCTGTTATCCTTGATTGTGAATCTTCCCTCTCCTCTACTTAAGAACTTATCATGGTGACTTAATCATGCCAGTATTACATCTGGCATTTCCTTACCTCTCGGGTTGGGGCATATCTCTGAATGACAATATGACTTCTGGCATGTGGACAGAGGATGAGAGTCATTTCACATTAATGAACCTCTCATTGTTACTCAGACATATTCCCAATTCCTACCTCTTCTGATGGATCATTTGGTCAGGATCCACTCTGAAATTCCATAGTCATTTCAACTATCAACCTTCTACAGGCAATTGTTCAAGAACTCTTTGCTTTCAGACATTGAATTTTCTCTTCTGGGATCATTCCCATTGAATCTTTCTTGTTGCTTGCACATACCAGTAGTTACAAACATTGTTGTAGACCACCTCTCTTGACTGGAACACATTCTACCCACAGAATTCTCTCTCCACACCCAGGTCTTTCATTGGGTTTGCTCTTGGTTGGGCAAACCTTTCATGGCTACCTCATCATTTGGCTTTGACTGTCATTGTTCTCAGCCAGGCTTAGTCTCACCTTATTCTATGTATTTATCCCCTCTTTGGCTCCTACCTTGGGTCCTCTCTTTGATATGCAACACTTCTTGTTGAGTCCTCCTGGTGGCAGCTCGGAATTGGTTTCCTCTGCTTCTTCATTTAGCATCTAGACCTACCCTTACTATAACTAGTGTCCCTTTTCTATTTCTTAAATCTCACAGGTCCCTTTTTCATTATGGGATATCATCCCTCCATCTTCATACGTGGGATTTGTCCAGCTGTCACCCATTGGGCTGGAGTCTCTGATTATATAACCTTCTCCATGCCACATTCCTATTGCTCTTCCACCTTGTTTATCTATCAATGACAGTGGTGGGTATTTCGTCATTGGTTCATCTGTCACTCCTTTCCTCCCAACCATCCTACTGTGAACCACCATTCTGCCTTTTTTTCCTTGACTGTTCAATCATGATTTGTTGGTCTTCACCATTGCATGTTATCGGGTGCTGTTGTCCACTACATTTTACCTTTCCTTGTACTACAGGGTGCTTTCTTCCTCTGTCCTCTCCAATCTATTCCACTCCTTTCTTCTTTGCCAGCTTCCTTGACCAACATCCATGCCTGAGTGGGACCTTAATGCAGTTTTGCCTGCTCTCAAATGTGCCCCATTTGAGCCATTAGCTTCTTACTCTTTGTACCACCTTCTCTCCAGACTTCCTTTTTTTTATTCAGTCTATGCTGTTGATATTTCTTCTACCCTCTCACCACATTTATATACTCCTCTACCCAAACCAGTCTTTCCTTCCTAAGTCTTCAGGAAGGTAACCGTATTTTCTTTCGAATCTCCCTTCCTTCTATGTCTCACGTCTATAACTGTTCAAACTTGGATTGGCTCTTATGTCCTCTTTGGGCTGTTCAGTGTTATTTATCATGTACTTCTCTCTTTTGGGGTCCCCACCACCATCTGTTCTTACCCAGGGACCCATCTTCTTCAAGGGACCTATCTCTTTCTACCCTTACTGGATGGGTCTGTCAACACCTCTAGTTGGTATATTATTCCCTGGTCTTTGATGCTTATAGGCTATTTCACTTTTCTTTGCACCATATGCAATATCTGTCTCACTCTCTTGCTTCCCATCTTCACTAACCCTTGGATGAGATCCTCCAGGCAGGCATCTGAATGACTCCTTACATGTTTGTTGTTCCTTATCTTCTTCATCTAACAATTTATCTCTCACAGGATTTAACTTTCCCATGTCTCTATTCTTCAGTTAACCCATCATTTCTATGGTGGGTATGTTTGCTTCTTCCTTTTCTTTCCCTTCCATCACTCAGAATCCTGCCAGGTGGTTGATGTTGCTTCCAATGCAGGACTGGATTAAGGTTTAGTGGGGCCTTAGGTCCAGGTAATATTTGGGAATAGTAATAGTAACTGACTCTTGCTTCTATTCTAATAGTTTCACAAACCATAATTTAATACTTTTATGGCCAGGCCCTCGGTGGCCTATGCAATAATTCAGTACTTCTCCCATTGTATGCTTTTTACCCAAACTTTGTACAAGGCCAAGGAGTAATGGAAAGCACTCAAACCATCTGCCCTGGCTCTACCAATGCCCACTGCAAAATGATGTGTTCCTTTAGACCACTAAAGGTATTCTTATGGTGTACAAATTTACTCGATTGTCTGTATCAATTCCATGTGCTATCATTAAAAACCAGGAAAGTGACTGCCTACTTTATTGGCTTGCACTTGCCTACATTTCAAAATAGTATTTATGTGTGTTTGAAGGTGAGTATATTGGAAATATGTTTTCAGGTTAGGAAAATGTTATCTTTCGAAAAACAGAATGTGATAGGAGGGGCATGGCATATGGGTTTGATTTTCTTGTATATATCTCAGTAAAACAAGAAGCTGGGAGGCTATAAATTTATATTATGGCTTAACAGTCTCTATAGTATATGTGTGTAATTCATGCCAAACTCAGAAAATTATATAAGAGTAGAAAAAAATGTAAAATGGACAATTTAGAGTGAAGAAGTAACACATGCTACAGAGAAGTAAAGATTAAGAATTTATTTAAATATTTATTTTGAAATTAGGATATTAAGAATTACATAATATTAAAATTTGAATTATATACTACATTCTCATGAAAAGTTTATTGACATTGATAATAAAACTATTTAATTAACTTTTAAATCTAACTGTAAAAAAAAGGTCATGAAATGCACATTTTAACCCCATAATACACATAAGGTTGATTATTGATTATAATTTTAAAACATGCATATTTGATTTTTAGGTAGTTAAGTAATTAAAGTACTATTTATTTTATCATTCTTTATATTATTTATGAATCAAAATATAGTTTTGCTTTATACTTGTATGTTACATATCTATATTATAAAGAAACTCTTTGTATCCTGAAAATGAGTTGCCTAATTTTTTTAGGACATGCATTGATCGAATTTAAACAACTCACTTCCCATTGCCATTTTGGAGCATCTGTTTAATTTTAATTATTTTGTATATATCACAGACAAAATATGTTTTAGTACTTTTTTTGTGAATTGATCTGTAAAAATGTCTTGTTTTATATAGATTATATGGTATTTTATGTCAATATATATATTATTAAGATTCATTTGGCTAATGACTGTGTTTAAGTAGTATTTATGATGTACTATTAGCTTGTGATAATATAACTTTCTAACATTAATGTAATTCAAAATATATGACAGTGTAAAACTTTCCAAGAGGTTTGCCTGATGGTGCGTAAACCAGCATTAGAAGTGATGGAATACTTGAAACAAGCCAATTATGATCATCCCACAATTAGATATATTCTATGTATCCTTTATGAAATTATAAAGATTATGTAAGTAGTAAAAGTTGTACAGTAGGACTTGAAGCTCTTCCCTGAAAAAAACAATGATAGTGTTTACATGGAAAAATTACAGAAACATTATTTTTGGACTTCATAGTAATCCTCATGAGGTAATTAATGTAAGATTATAGTTACTTTTATGACATCTAGTAGTCCTGATTATTAAAAAACTCTTATGTGTAAGAAACAGAATTTTTGTTACACTTCAATATCAAAATCACCTATTTTTATTCATGATTTGTATGTAATTCCAAATTTAAAATAGGTACTCTAATAAGCATGTGTTCTTATTAAGAGTAAAAAAAAATGACATTTTTTTGGCACAATGAAAGGTAAAATCTATATTATTAGTTACAGATGACTAGTTTCAGTAACTCAGTTACCATCATCAGGGCTAGTATCTACAAAAACTAGTCAGCTGTAACTAATTTTAAAAATTTTGCCTTAAGTAGTGCCAAAAATGTCAGATTTTGTGTTTTTTAATCTTAATATAGCAGCACAATGTACTTGAAAAGAAATTATGTTCTTGTCTTGCCTCATCTGGAAGCATTATATTTTTTCTCAAATTAATTTTTGTTTCTTAATAGTATGTATAATCAGGAAATACACTGATCATTTTTTTATGTCATTAACAAAACTATAGTTACCGTATTAAGTTCTTTTCTTAATGGAACTCCAAGATGGAAGGAAGGGTACAGGAAAAACCTTAACATTAGCACACCTTCTTCATTATGGTTTCAACAAAAAGTGGATGCTTTTACATGTACCCTGGGGTAAATACTGACTTAGATATTTCTTACTGTTTGTTTTTTCTTATTTAAAACAAACTAATGTTATGAAGATTGTAGCACTTAGAACAATAGTACATAAATATATCGTAACTGATAAGGAACTTCAAGAAAGACTTTTATTAGCTGTCAACTTTCTAAAAGCTATTTTTAAGATTGAACTTTTGGTCACTTGTTTACGGTGTATTTTTGTCTTTATCAACAATGCAGCTCCAAACTGGACTCGAAGGCCTAGAGAAATTGCTCCATCTATATCTCGAGAAGGAAGAATTGATATGCCAGTAGATGCTGCTGTTTGGCTTCAACAGTTCAAAAGCCAAAATGAACAACTGCTTAAAGACTTAGATGTGAGTATTTGAATATTTAGTTCTGATACAGTACCTTCCCTCTTCTCACATAATAGCTTTTCTCTTTTAGTGTTGCCCTCTATATGCACAATTTTTGCTAGCCACTAGCCTTGATACTCCCATTTATCTTCATGTGTTTACACATGATACAGCTGTGCTGTAGCATGTAAATAAGCATGTGACAACTCACCACCAATAGGAGTGCAACACATCCCTCTGATGCACCTGGCTCCCTTTATACTGTAGAGCCCAATCTTCACTTCTTGATTTGGCATACTGCTGTGCACAGTTTTCCCTCATGTTTGTCTTAATTATCATTTTTTGAATAACAACTATCTTTGTTGTTTCCACCATATTTTGTTTTCCTTTACTACATTCACTTGATACTGTGGGTTGATAATTTAATAATTTCCACACTAATTGTGAATTATGAATTCCCAATTTCAAGTTACAACAACTACTATTATTGTTCCTTCTGCCACTGAACATCAACCTGCAGTTTCTCATGTTTGGGCTCTTCTCTTTCTGCCGAGGAGGTTTCGGTCTTAATTTGCTGTGAGTTGGTGTCCATCATTATGCCAGATCAGACATACCATATCCTGGTGAATGTGGTCAGGTTGATGATGATTTGGATAGCCTGTTCCCACCTCCTACCTTTGCCGTACAATTCTGAGGAAACACTTGTTGATGCTCCAAAATCTCCTACCTTCCTCATTATGGTGTCTCAGGTATGATATCTTTTGTTTGTATCCGCTGTGTCACGTTTTGGGGTCAGCATGTCTTATTCTTCTTGTTTTTCTGGTTCCTGTGCATTAGCGTATGATCATTTGGAATTTCCTTTTCTGGAATTACAGAACTTATATTCAGCTATGGGGCTCTGACCCTGATACTACTTTAAGTTTTTTTTCAGGCTCAATTTTCCCATTTTCATCTATCCTCACTAACCTCCTACTTTACTTCTCCTCTCCAAGGCTATCCACCATTTCCCTGAATTATTTTCAGGGGATACTTTTCCGTTTTGTTTTCCTCATTGGTGCATATAACTTCCTCTTCTCTTCCCCCACAAACTTGGCTCCTTTGTTGTTCGGATTTCCTTTTATCTCAAGTGCACCTGTCCACTACTTCTTTGCATGACCTTCGTATGGGTCCATTTTTATGCTGGTCAGTCTTTGGAGATCTTTCTGACTCATTTTAGTCCATGGTGGAGGGTGCTCATCAACATTCCTCCCTTTCATTCATGGTCTCTTGCCTTTTGCAGTCTTCACCTGCTCCCGTTCCTTTATCTCATCCTCCTCCTTCCTCCCCTTTGCCTGTAACTCTCCACTGGGTCTTGGCAGAATGCCATCAGATTGCTTATCACTGGGTCCCCTGCTGCCAACAACATCTATCACCATTATGTCAGTGCTAGCACAGTTAGGGCACTTTTGGTTAGGTATGTTTGCCAATGGAGCACTTTTATCATGAATCCTTGGATGCTTCAGGTGTTACCCTATGGACTCTTCCTTCATGGTTGGAAACCCCCTACATTATCACCATGTCCCATTCTATTCTCTACTTCTGAGGATCAAGTTTCCTGCCAGTGTTTATCTGAAGCAGTTCAAGATCTTCACAGTGATGTTATCAAACCTGTCAGTCACCCTTCTCCAGGGTTTTTATTCCCAGTTTTTCATAGTTCCTTAGAAAACTTTGAACTTACCTCCTGTAATAGATCTCTCTAGTTTCAACCATTTTCATTGACCTTCCTTGTTTCACCATGGCAGTTTTCCACAATCTTCAGTTGGAATTTCCTCTGGGTCTTTGGATGACAAAGGCAGGTATCTGGGATTCTTACCTTCCCATCCCTCTTTCCCCGGCAGCCAGACATTTACTTCTCCAAGAGGCTGGTCATGTGGATTGGCTGGTCAGGTTAAAGAAGTTCTTTCTCAACCTGACCCAATTCCTCACCCATTTGAGAGTGTATTTCACCTCATACCGCTATTGGGCCTAGCCTTCTCTTCTTCAGATGGGTTCAATGGAGCTCTTAGTTCTTGATTCTCAATCCTTTCTCTCTCTCACTATATGCTAGGTTATATCTTTTAGAGTACTTGGGCTTTCATTGATGTCTTCAATCTCTTGGGCCATGCTCACATGCATGTTCTTCAGTGGGTGTTGCATGATTTATGGAATCTTGCTTGGGATCCCCTGGACCCCATTATCCTTCTTCCTTCCTCACTACATGTCGATTTAACCTAGTGGCTTGACAGGAATAATGCCACGGCTGGCTTTCCTCTTCCACCTTTCATCCCAAGTTGGATCTTTTTACAGATGCTTCTCTGATGGGGTGGGGGGCATTCGTGGATTCCAGGAGATTGCAGTTATTTGGTTGAATTGGGTCTACACACCAATCTTCTGTTGGTATTTATTGGGTAGAGATGCTTTGTTAGAAAGTGTTCATTTACTGTCTTATGCCCTCAGGGAGTTATGGGAAGCTCCTTTTTTCTGTCCCATGTTGTTTGCTGGAGTTCTAGAGAGGTTAGAATCACAAATTGATTCAGCTCATTTACATTCTTTATCGTCATTGGCTTCTTGCCTTTCTGGTGCTAGTTTGGGAGTGTCAACTCGTAGTAGTTCCCGACTCCCTAGTTTGGTTCCCAGGTCTATTGGTTCCTATAATAGAGCCCATCCATATTCTCGAAGATCTTCAGTTCAGGCAAACCATCAACAATGGCATCTATGACTGTCCCGTGGGTGTGGGGAGTAGTGGGAGAACAATTTGATCACTTTCTGGACATCTGGAATTCTTTCACCAGGGATCTATGGGTACTCCATGTTCTGGCTTCAGGGTTGGTCATTCAATTTACATCACCTCCACCATTATCTGCATAACCTGTTGCCTTTTCACCTCCAACAGATCCACGACGAGCGGAACTTCATTCCCAGGCCATAAGAGAGTTGTTAATCAAAAGGGCAGTAGAGAGGGTCAGTCCCGTTCTTCTGGGATTTTATTCCTGTTTCTTTGATGTACCCAAAAAGACAGGAGATTGGTGTCCAATCATTGATCTATCTCGACTCAACCAATTTTTAGATCCTCCTCACTTTACAATGGAATCTTTTCTCAACCTACAATGGCACTTTGCACCAGGGCTCTGGATGACCAATTTCAATGTTACCGATGCTTATCTCCATATTCCCATAGTGGAATCTTCCCGGTTGTTTTCTCAGATTTGTACACAAGGTTCAGGTTTTGCTGCTCACAGCTCTATCTTTTGGTTTTGCATCAGCACCTTATGTCTTCTGCAGAGTTGTTCAAGCTTTTTCTTGTCACCTGCATTCCTTGGGCTTGTGCACACATCATTATATGGACGACTGGCTCCTTCTGGCACCATCTCGTCAATTAGCAAAACAACACTCTCAGATTCGCCTGTGGGCTTCTTTATCAGACTGGACAAATCTATTTTGTCACCAACACAATAACTTGTCTATCTGGGTGTGTTTTTCAATACTCAATTAAATCATGCTCAAAAAACCCCTATCAGGCTTTTACTTATGTCTCCTTCTTCTACTTTGCAGATGGTTCTCTCTTTTTTTGGCAATATGGGCATTCCTCGAGCCTCTCAATTCCTTTGGAACGAGCACATATGAGGTCTCTTCATTGATCGCTTTCCAACCAATGGATCATGCATTTCAATCCTTTGAATCATCCTGTCTCATTACTCAGGAGCAACACTGTCGATTGCGATTGGTGGTTGGATTGGTGGTTGGATTGGAACGACACTACTATTGGGGTACCCATTCCACCACCCCATCCGGAGATCTATCTGTTCACAGACACATCTCTTCAGAAATGGGGAGCTTATCTTCAAGGTCAGGAGTTCCAGGGTATTTGGATGGAAAACGGGTCTACCCTCCATATCAATATTCCTGAACTCCTTACAGTGCACTGGGCAATGGTTTACATCTGTATGCTTTTCCCTGGGTTCTAACTATAGTTTGTTCCACTCCCTGTCGAGTTCTCTTGGTTGCACCATATTGGCCACCTCAAATGTGGTTTCCACTTCTTCAGTATCTGCAGGAATGTCCACCTCTACCTCTTCCGCATTGGCACTCTCTATTGAGACAACCTCGATCAGACATTCTCCACCCAGATGTTTGGAAACTCAATCTTCATGCTTGGTAGTTATGTGGTCCTTTGCCCGACATAAGGGTTTAACTTCTAAGGTTTCTCTATATTTAACTAAATCTCTCCATAGGCCAACCACAGCCGTTTATCAATGGAAATGGAATACTTATCGTCTGTGGTGTATTAAAAGGAATTTAAACCTTCTTCATCTAAAGTATCTGCCATATCCCATTTTATGTCTTGGGTATTTAAGAGGGGTCTTTCTTCGTCTGTGGTGGCTTTATATAAGGCATTCCGAATATATAATATGATCCTCAGTACTATCAGGTCTGCTCAAATCCTTTGGTTCATGTTCTTTTTTCACCTTTATCTTATATTGTATTTTCTGTTGTTGTTGACTTGTGGATGTCGTCAGTCGGAGTTGTCTACAATCCATGTGCATCGAAACTCTTTATCATTCCACATTTGTCCTGCTTTAGCCTGAAAGGTCTTTTCTTTCCAAGACTCTGGCAGCCAGGGAAGGGGAAAAGATCCTTGTCACCATTCTATTTGCCTGCCATTTCTCACCTTTTTCACTGCTCCAATCCTGATCATTTGTTATGTCCTATTAGGGCTCTTAAGTGTTATGTGGCTCGGACTAACTCATTTTGAGGTACTAGGTGTCAATTGTTCATTCATTGGAATCATTCTATTTCCCATGACTTATCTACTATTCCTTAATGAGGTGGCTTTGTAAGTTGATTCACATGGTCTATAATGGATTATTGTTATAGGAGAGGAATCTTTTTTGTGTCACATCTCACCAGATTCATCATATCTCTTTGTCATTAACTGCCTGGTGGAATTGTCCTCTGGAAGACATTGTGTGGGCTGGTATATGGACAACTCTTAATACTTTCCTATCTTATTACTTACATGACCTGGCAGTTTCCTCTTCTGAAGGGTTTCCAGGGTCCCTTTATTTTTCACTAGATCCCACTCTGTGGTAAGTGTTGCCCAGGCAGGTATGCTTTTTCTTTTCAATTCTGCATTAGCAACCTCTTTCACTATAATTACTACAGGTTGCAATAGGCTCTGTCAAAATGGGGTGTTCCATAAACCATCTAGGCACCAATAGGATGGTATTACCTTTTTATTATGGACTGCCACTCATGGACTATCATGAGTAAAGCTAAAGGGGATCCTGCCCATCACTGCTGATCTTCAGGTTGAATAAATATAGGAAACTTGGTTCACCTATTGCACAGTTTCCAGAGCACTGCTCCTCAGGACTCCCCAATGCATATTACCCCCCAGACTCTACTAGTGGAGCTCGGGAGTCCTTACCACCCCCAGTTTCCAGTTGCTGGGGTGGCGGATAGAAACTTTTCCCCCAGAATGTTCGAGTCTGTTCCTCCACTCTTGGAGAAGAGGGCAAAATTGCGGACCCTCCTACTCGGGTTCCTGAATGTTTTTCCTAGATGTCAGTAGGAGAGGCACCAGCCTCCATGGGAGCCTACTCATAATTCTGGTTCAGATTTAGCACAAAGCAATCCAGTTGGGGGGTGCATGGCCCTTCTCTTTGATCAAGACAAATTCTAGTAACCCTAGTGATCAATCACCTGAAAAATAATTATGGTCAAAACAATAAGAGAATATAACAAACTTCAAAGGCTACTGGCTATAATATTGAAGGTGAGTGTAAACTTTAAATTCTGGGATGTGTGTTACCAAGCAACAAATCATTCAGGGTAAATCTTGGAAAATTTAGTGAATATAAGATGTAATGGAGCAAATATATTGAAAGGCTCTAATGATGCTAAATTTTCAAGTGAGTCATGTTTTCTCCCCACATTACAAGTTGTAATTATATGAATGTTCTGGAAACCCGGTGAGCTGAAGTAGATCTCACAGTAATCAATAGAAAGAGTTACATGTTTCAGTCACTTGTCTCCAGCATGTTCAAAATTAATGGCTATATAAAATAATTTTAAATATGCTTGAAAAAAAAAGTTTTAAAATTCGTACAACCAAGATAGAATTATTTACCATTTCCTTTGAAAGGCTTTTGGAACAAAATAGAGAGCAGTATTCGTTTGTGCTATTGACAACATCACCATTCTCAACATGTTTGAAACATTACAACCATTTGAAGGAAGTATTAACTTTATAGACAATAACTGCAAAAGTGTGACCACTTTGGCCTAGGAACAATGAATGCTTCTTGAAACTAGATTTGTTGGAATACAAAGTAATCCAAATTTTACTTTTTTTGGATCCTTATTCTAAAGTAGAATTTTTTCTATAGAGAGACAGAACCAAGCACTGAATAGAGTTTGATGGAGAAAATGGTGATATTGCTCATCTTTCACCTTTAACACAACCACCAGGAGACATGAAATTTATCTGGGGATTATTACAGTAAACTATTTGTAGCCACCTATGGCATTAATAATACTGTTTAAATAGGTGATAACAAAGAAAGAAGTTGTTGTTAGCAGTGAAATTAAATTCTTTTTATTTGTACCATTCTTAATGTAATGATTATGAGCCCCAGTCAACAGTATGTATTGCTCTCAGAAACTGACAATATTTTACAAGACAAAGAGAAACTGGTTCCTTTCTGAAACAAGTACAGTTTTTACATCAGAACCTCAAATTCTAAGTGTTGAACAAGGATATCTTAGTGAGAAGTCCTAATGAGGTAGTTAACATTGACTCGTGTGCCCTTAGTAAATAAGTAGTCAGCTCTATGTGATATACTGATATTAATGTAGTTTTACAAAAATGCAAGATTACTAAACAGTTTTTGTTTTCTTATTGTATTAATAAGAAAACAATGCACTCTGTTAAAAACTTAAAATGAATATTAAGCTGTGATTAATGAAGGTTGTTGATAACTAATTATTTAGTAAAAGGCTGACTAGACTAGACTTACTTAGACCGAAGAAGGTTAAGATGGTTGTTTAGAAAATTATAACATTCACTTTCCATACTAAAATTATTTCAATTCACTTTATGTTTAATAAAATTTGTTTGTTTTACAGGATCATATGCTTTGGAAAACAAATTAAATTGATTTATGAACATAAACACATGTTAATGATAATAAACTATTTAGTGTTATTAATAAAGTTATTCATTATTTAACCCTTTGTTTGTTAATTTGTTATTTAGAACTTCCCACTTCTTATAGTAGGTTTTAGTTTACACTGTTCGTAACAAGTATAAAAATTTACACTATTCAGCTGCCAAATAAGTATATCCAATGAAACTGAATATCTGGTACAATAACTTAATATCCATTACAACTCTAAATCCTTCTACTGTTACTTAACTTGCACTTTATTTTATTAGGTAAATTAGAATATTTTTTTATCTATGTCCATTTCCATAGTACTCAGTGCTCATTACCATATACCAGTCAGCATTGTGACCAGTTATTATTTAGTTTTATAGATCAATTGGTACTCTTCTAATTAAAATTATAATTTGCTGTATTCAAGTTAATTAGTTCTATGTGAATGTTCTGTTAAGAGGTGTGAACAAGAAGCATTTCAGATTATTTTCTTTCTGCTACAAGTCACTTTTCAACTGTACTTTTTTGTTTATTGATCAGGTTTCATTATTTTGCCAGCTTACACATTTTTAACTCCATCATTATATTATGTTGTATTCTTGTAGGCTGTTTTATGCACACATTATAATTATCAGCTATAATTTAATTTTAGTAACACACGAGAAGTCGTATTTGATTATTTTTTTAATTATTCAGATTTCAAAAATTAATGAGGATGCAGGTTTATGTGTAACATCAACAGTGATGCCACTATTTACAGCTGTAACATTTTAAACTGTACAAACATGTTTGTGTAAGAAAGATTGAAAAGTACTATTCTTTGTGTTCCAGATATATAAATACAAATAATTGTTTTTAAAAGAGAGGATTAATTTAGTATATTTTAGTAACGACCACGTGAAAGCCTGTGCTGTAAACAGTTGTCGATTATTATAAGATAGAAATGCCTTTTCAGTGTTTTCCTTAAGTTTGTGTAGGAAGTGCTACTAAATCAATATTTTATTCACTATTTCAGCTAAGGGCTCAGAAGAGTTACACCTGGAGCAAACGAGAAGTTACTCAAGAAGGAGAACCACTATTGAGTATTGCAGATCATGTAAGATATGAAATTTTACAATGAAATTCATTTATGTACTTAACCTTTTCGTGACGGGTCACGGGTGAAAGGCCATGTCATCTCGTTTGTTGACTCTCATTCAAAATGTTTTTGAACTCCTGTTTCATGAATTTATGTCAATAAGTTTGGTACAGAACTGTAGATTATAATTCAAACTGTAGTATTATACATTACTCAGTTTCTTAATTTAAAAGAAAATATTAAAAAACACAGATAAACATTGATTTTTGTGTGTGTCATGTGGTATGTTGAATGCAGCACTGGTTCAAATTAGATGTTTGTGAAGTCAAAATAATAAGTCTATAGTTTCGTACAAATTAGAAACTTAAATTACTGATATTTACAAGATAGAATATAAAATAAGAACATCTTTTCTATTTGCTAAGATATTGTTCATGTAATAAATGAAACACAGTGGCACCCAGCCTACCTTATTCCATTTTTGGAAATTCTCCCTTATATATACACTTACTTCTATATATGACATGAATAACCAATCAAAAGCTCAGAATGTCCCCCAAGTGGCTTTGTCAGCCATTTTCAAATATAGTCATTATATCTTTCTTTCGATAGAAGATGGCATGGAAGTAAGTCGAGTCTTTAGTCTGCTCGAAATTTCATACTTTTAGTTCCAAATACAGCCTTGTTACTAAAATTGATAAATTATAATTGAGTTATATGGTATCAGTATAGTAATTTATGATTTTTTCATTATTCAAATGTATATATATAAAACCTGAAAAAAATAGATTTGTTTGATATCCATTTTGACCCTTCCAGATATTTTAGAATGTTCTATTTACTTTATTTGCAATATGCAAAATAAGTTGATTATTGAATGTGACAGATAATTGTTTGAACTCTGTTGATACAGAGTTATAGTCATGTGATGACTAGTCTGCAAGACAATCAGCATACAAAAAAATGTGACTTTTCAAAGAGAATAGCAGAATATGGCAGAAGTGTCATTGTCAAAGACCACTTCTTTGTCCAACTGTTCAAAGGTATATGTAATCTATCTATTAAAAGTAGCAGTCAAAGAATAATTCATCTACAACTAGGAAGGATAATGGCTGCCCTTTGCTCATGATAGAACAAGGAAAAATGATGACTGGCCATGTTTGAAAAGAGAAATATTAAAATATGAGACTGTGTCCCAGGTGACTTATTCTTTCAATAGTGTTTACCTGGTGGCTCAGTGGAAAGCTTGGGGTCTTATATCACTAAAATTCAAAGTTTGATCTCTTTGGTGGCACAGCCCAGATAGCCTATTATATGTCTTTGCGTTTAGCAACAAACAAATTAAATCCTCAACAGTAGCTAGAATCCACTTATCTCCAAACTTACTGTGTGAATGATATTAAAAAAAAAACAATTGTTGTAGTTGATAATTAGATGCAAATGGGAAAGCATGATTTCATTGGTGTTCAGAGTGCAGACTTTGGACATTTAATGACTGGAAACATATGATGTGGTCTGTCCAATTTGCATTTTGTCTGTAATAAGAAGTAAAGAGAAGGCCCTGTGGCACTTGTATTTTTCTGATAATAGAAACGTTTGGTGGTGGTGTAATAGTGTGGATGTAATTTTTGTGGTGAGGGTTGGGACACTTAATTCATTTACAACCAGATTGTACCTGAACATTGTTATGGGTCATTTTCACTACTCATTGCTGCATTTCCATCCTAATGGCTAAGATGATAATGCAACAGTTCACTGTGCTTTCATGTTTTAAATGTTATTGTCTTTAGTTATACTACCACCAGTTTCAATAAGTATGACCATCTCTGGGATAAACTTGACCTTTGTTTTCACCACTGCAATGTATAATGCACTCATACATATTTACTGTCTAACAAAGTGGTTTTTGAACTTTTTTTTCACTGATGACACCCTAACCCACTTACCTTGATTTACATGACACTCCTACTGCCATGTGAATTTTTTTTGCAGAGTTCTTTTTAGGTTCTTAATTATTCTCCATTTGTTGAAAGTCTTGCAACCATTGGTCTAACAGGATTAGATCAGTATATATCTTCTGCAAACATATTTAGTAGTAAATACATAATTAATTTTTCCCATATGAATAAGGCTATAAAGCATTATTGTGAAGGACTCAGTGTTCAAAACATTTAAGGTCAAGCAGTGGTTGGCATATTCATACACTGAAGATGAGAATTCATGGTTTGTGGCGTCTTGTCACAAAAATATGCTCTTAATTTTGGGGTTGTGGGTGTGTTATAAGAGTGTCAGTCAATTCCCACTATTCAGTCAAAAGTGTAGCCCAAGAGTTGGTGGTAGTTGCTTTTGATAAGCTATCTTACCACCAGTCTATCAGTTACAAGTTAGTGATAGCTATGTAAAGTGTAGTCTGGCATGAATATTCTGAAACAAATAAATCAAAACTTTTGCACAGAACGTTTTGAAAAGGAGAATAAATTTATCTATGTGATAATATTTTAATTTTAGCTTTTCTTAAAGCAGAACCAGATTAAAAATAAGTTTTATTAAAGCCTTAGGTACAAAATAAAAATGAATGTAAGTTATTTGAAGTATTCCCATAACAACTTCTCCTTTCTACTAGTCACTTAGCAGAACATCATGTTTTGATCAGTCAGTTGCTTGAACTGGAACAAAAAGAATGTGAGTATGACCATTGAGTTGACAGTGAACCAGATGATTTGTGTCCTAAAGTTGTGAATGTATTTTAATAAAAGTATATGCTGATGTTTGTGAATTAATGTTTTATGCCTTTGTGGTCAACATCAGATACTTAATAATGGTTGCAGATGGCTTGAATGGGTAATGAAGAAAAACTTTAACATAAGTTTAACATAACAGCAAATGTACAACATTTCGACAAGGTTTTGTCATCATCAGGTATTTGAATTTGAATGTTGATTAAATTAACACTGGCCAATCACGTGATAGCAGTAACGAATGTTGATTAATAATGGTTGGAGACGGCTTGAATGGGTAATGAAGAAAAACTTTAATATAAGTTTAACATAATAGCAAATGTACAGTGTACAACGTTTCGACAAGGTTTTGTCATCATCAGGTATTTGAATTTGAATGTTGATTAAATTAACACTGGC